GATTTTGTGTCCTTTATGGCTGATGTGCTTGCTCTGAATGGTCTGTAGTGTGCTGTAGTCGTAACAGTTTTTACTGAGGTTGGTCCATGGAGTATAAATGCCCTGCTTAGGTCTTTCAGGCTGTGATTTACTGCGCCTGACCCAGAGTTAGGCTAACACTTGCTCTCCACCAGAAAGTTTTGTTGAAAAAAGTGCTGTATTCTACCAACGTACACTTTTGTGCATTCACACAGCAGGTGCACGTGAGCCAACAATTATCCGGGTTGGTCTGGAGGACTAATGCCTCTCTGCAGGACAGAAGCCCACAGACACCCTGTAACTATTCATGTAAGTGGAGCCAACGGAGAGACCTTTGTACGCGCTGGGTGTGGCAGGGCCCTAACAAAAGCCCCATGGCGCATCGGGCCGGAAAATAAAAGCAGTGTTGGAGCACCGATGTGAGGAAAAAAATACTCGGTGTAGGCTTTGATTGCAACTGTTCTGATGGTAACTTGAGCTCAAGCAGCCAATTTCAGGTTGGCTGCAGAGCTCCCCTTCCTCCCTGTGAAGCATTCCTTCATCTCCTGCCGCCCTGCAGGGGCAGGGGTGACTGCTGCAAAGACGTATCCAAAAGCCCCGTGCTCCTGCCTAGAGCAGGCTCAAGGAGATGAATCTCCAGAGCTTGTTTCGTTACGCTGGGCTCCGAGGGAATGGCAGGAGCAGTAGTACCTGCAGGGAATCAGTGTCCAGCAGGAGGGCTGGGAGCAGCAGGGTGGAAAGCACTAGCAGACTTCCGAGCGATCCAGTGGAACAAAAAGAAAACGTAACCAGTGCCTTTAAGGGCTTTCCAGTATAATTGGTGAAAAGTTACTCTTTGGTCCAGTCCTGATCATCAGCAGGTTGCAAGACCCACAAGGAGGGAATTTCTGAGGTGTGAGGAGGGCAGTAGATGTGGTAGGAGGATGCGTGTCGACAGCCAGCGCTTCTTGGGTGCAGAGTTGCTGACGCCATGGCCAGTCCCACCCCCAGCAACCAGAGCAACGAAGAGAGCGAAGCAGTTCCCACAAGGGCTTCAAGTTTCCCTTTTGCCCAGGTGGGCTTTTTGTTTCCCATCTCTAACCTCACTAATGCACAATTCCAGTCTGGAAAGCAAATGGGACCTTTTCCTCCCTGCAGAGAACAAGGAGTTGCAAGTGTTGGTTCATTTAGTGAAGGCTTGTTGAGCAGCTAACGGTGAGGTTAAGTGATTCAGCCGTCGGCAGTACGGTGCCCGCTCCTGTGTGCTACTGCCGTAGCCAGCAGTGACACAGCAGATCCCGCTGCTGCCAGGAGCCCTCCTGGCCTCTCCCTGCCATGGATGAAGGCGTCAGTTTTCTCTTGCTTTCTCTGCAGAAACCATGGTTATTCTGCTTGGACATCTGTTCATCAGTGTCTACTTGCATGCCAGATGTGCTTGCCCTCCAGGAGAGTGTTTAACAGGAGCTCCTTTATCTTTTCTTGGGCTTTCAGGCTACAGGTATTTTGTTTTTTCATCCCTGAGACCAGCACTACTTAAATACATCTACAGGCACAGTTGCTATAAAAAACAGTTGTTCCAAAGACAGACTTCTTCTAATTGCCTCATTGTTTGTTCTCCCTGGGCCTGGGTCATCCTCAGCAGCAAAAAATAAGCCCAAACTACAGCATTAGACAATAATTATTTTGCTGTTTCTCTGGTTTCCATCCCCAATTGCCTCTGGAAACAAGTGAGTTCCCTGGCACAGTAAATTCACTGTAGGAGCAGAGTTTCAGGTGTACTTCAGCAAACACCACGGCAGAACAGGCTGGTGTCAGCAGCTCTGCCCCTTGTAATGCAATAGAGAAAAGAAGAAAAAAGGAGAAAAAAAAAAAAGAGCATCATTATAGCTCCTTTTTCTTTGTGTTCCCACTGTAAATCTAACCAACTGCTTGTTTTGCTGGAGCAGCAGCCTTGGTGGTGTTGGTGGCCTTGGGAGATGCATCACCATCAACAGCAGCAGCACTGGGTCCAATTGGGAAGCGAAGGGGCCGATCCAGGGAGATGGGCATGACATGGCCAAAACCTGCCAGGTGAGAGGGCAGGCTGGGAGCAGGAAGGAAGGTGAGCTGGGAAGGCAGCACATGGTGAAGGTGCTCGGTGGGTGGGTGGTGGGACCAAAGTGGTCCTCCTGAAGCAAGGAGTGATGCCACAGCACAAATGCTGTGTCCTGCCATCAGCTAACCCTGTTAGGAGTCCTTGCACCAGCCCAGGGCTGATCGTTGCACTGGGGGATAACACCACAAGGCAGAAACGCCGTCAGCTTGAGGGACGCTCCCCCTTGCCAGGCAGCCAGCAGCTTCATCGCCCTGGTCCCACTAACTGCTGGCCCCACCATTGACCCCTCCGAGGTTCCTTGTTTGCACAGCATTTGATTCATCGAGCTGGCTGCTCGTGCACCAGGTCAGGTCTTTCCAAATTTAAGTGCTGGACTCTTTCTTATTGCTACTGCAAATAAAGTCCTTGTTATTGCATACGGAAATCCTCTGGGAATATCACAAACAAACACAAAGAAACCCCAGGCTGGGCATCTGCTTGCTGAGCACGCTGTCCCTCCCTGTCCAGTGCTCTCCATGGGCAGAGCTGCTTTTAAAAGCACATATTGTCACAGTCATGACACAGGTTCGAAGTGCTCTCTCAAGGCCTCCCACAGTCAAACAGCATCACAGTGGGCTCCAGGTATTGCCCGTTCGTCTGGCAGGTCCGAATTGAAGGATGGTTCTTCCACCGTGACCCGTCACCTCCCAGCCCAGGCTTTACTGGCATCTTCAGGAATATAATTCAGCTCTCAGCCAGCAGCTACAACAGGGGACATGTTTCCCCTGCGAAGGTTAAGCATTGTAATAAGGCATCTCTGGTACCTTTTCAGACGCCCAGAAGCACGCTCAACTGTCAACCAGCAGCTGCTCAGTTGGTGATTAAACTTCTCCTCCTTACTGGCACCTGGATTTCTGCAGTATAGCTTTATGAGCCAGGGGAGGAGAGAGGAGGCTGAGCTCTGAAACCATTATTGGCTTTTCAATATTTGGCCTCTGGATGTTGTCATCTGGGGACTAAGTCCTTGTGAAGGTCCTGAGGAAGCTCCATTGCTGGTGGGTGCCTGCCATGGTGGGCAAATAGCTCAGGCGGTTGCTGGTTGTGAGGTGTAGCTCTCATGCAGGCGTTCCCAGCCCTCTTAGTGTAGGCACCAGATGTTATTATAAAGATGTTATTTTGAGGATGTTATATCAAAATAAAAGATGTTATTTTGAGGATGCTCATATAGAAGAACCACTCCAGGAGAGGTCCTCAATATCCACGTCAATAGTGAAAAAAGAACCCACATGAGATCTTGAGTATTCCAAGGGGCTGCACAGAGCAGTGGGAAAAGTAGGCAAGAGGTGGGTGTGGGAGGATGAGCCGGAGGACCCACAGCCCTTCAGAGATGATATCTTTTTGTATTGCACCATTCCTATTTCCCAAGGTACATGGCATCCAAGATGATGCAGGAGCCGCTGGGATTTCTGTCTTTTGGGACGCGAACGCTCAGGGTGACAGGATCTGCTGCAAGACTGATGCTCTGCTGTTTGTGCTCCCTGATAGCTCTGCTCTGTTGGCTGAAAAAATTATCTCAGGAAAAATGTATAGTGTTGACATGTTTTTTAAGCAGTGAATCTTTTGTCTCAGCTCCTTTCTAGGTCTCAGCTGCGCTCTTGCGGGTTTTTCCTTCTCCCTTCCAGAAGAGGAAAGCTAAATACACAGACACACATACACCCCAGTCCCAAGCCCCTCACTGGATCCTTTTTACCTGCTTCAATGTCTTTTTCTTTGCTGACTGTTTCATTAACACAGCCAAAGACACTGTGCCAATGCCAGGAATAAATGTCTAATGGAAGACCTGAGATGAAGGAGGGAAGAAGGTCCTGCCAGGATGGGGAACAGTGAAGTGTATGACATTTGAGCCCTGCAAGGCATGAGTATTTCATCTTTAAAGCAGTGATGCTACAAGAGCATCATGGGGTGATCAAGTCAGGCCATGCTGATGTTCTGGTGAATGCATGTGGATGTGAGACCTGACACTCTACAGGTGCGAGAGAGACTTTTCTGGCTCAGGGAAGGCCCATGCTGGCTTGGGGACAGAGCCTGAAAGTGCTGGACCACGGCTCCCTTGTGTGCAGCAGTAACCATCAGGCTGCCCCAAGCATCCTCCTGCCTCTCACAGGTCCCTCAGGGCAGGTAGTTCGAGGCAGGGACAGAGGTTTTGTTGTGGTGCTCCAGTTACCCCAGTGCAGAGTGATTCCCCAAGCAGCGTCCTGGTGGTAGGCTGCCGTGGGCATCCCTCCCATTCCCTCCTGTCCTTTAGTCGTCAGAGCTGCGCTGTTACTGCTGATTCTTCACTGGTTTTGTCACATAAGTGTTTCAGCTTAATTGGCTTATTCCCTATTAAGCAATAGGTGTCTCTGTTTTGCAAACTCACGTGTCTCGATTCCTGTGTCCTCAGCGTACACTTGCAATGATTACACGCGGTGATTTGCAGCCAGGCAGCAATCTTGGGGCCAAACCTTCCTCTCATTTACATGGGAGCTGATGTGGAGGCACAGTTACCACCTGACAGGTAGGGATGCTACGTGCCTCCGACCTTCCCATCTTGTTGTGGTCCCTGAGAAGGAGCCTGCAGCATTGGGTGACGTGATGGGCGTGGGACTGGGGCATGGGAGGTGGTGACCAAATTAGCAAGGCTGGTTTGCTTGAGACTGACAGAGATGTGTTTCCCACAGCGGGTAATAGCAAGTGCTGTGAGCAACAGCGAGGCCATCGGCTGGTGCTTTTACACCGAGTCTCCTTGGCTTGCTGGAAGATGTTACACTGCCAGCCTGGCTGCACGAGCACTGCCCCTGTGGCTCATGTACCGGAGCTGCACTGGGACCCCAGCGGGGCAAGGTGGTTTTCCTGAAAGCTGTGATATGGGCACAGTCTCCTAAATGCGGTTGTATGACTTGATAGAAAGGATGCATCTTGGAGCAGTAAAAATAGCACCTGATATTTAGGAAGTTTTTGACACTCAGGCTGCCAAGCTGTGACAATATGAACAAGTGAGATTTTAAACACATGGAAGTGCGATTTCAAATGTCTCATCAAGATGTATTGCAGGATCCTTCATTCTGGCAGACAAACACTTTAGAAATGTCTTCCAAATTAATCCCTACAGAGGGAACCTGGCTCACCAGGAGAGTGCAGGTACGCAGGGCTACCTAATGGCCACCGCTTTTCTTAATCGCCATCTCCTCCACACCCCAGGATGACAGCCTCAAAAGTGACTGGTGCAATGTCACAGGGAATGATCTGCAAGTGTTAGATGTCCTGGCTCCTCCCGGTGTGTTAGGAAATGTGGTACAGGGAGGCAAGATGCGAAATGAGCCTGTGAGAGCTGCGTTTCTGGATGGGGAAGACTGGTGTTGGGGAGAGTGCACGATGTTGTGTTGGAGTACCTGATCTCAAGGTTCAAAAATGCATCTCTGATCCCATCGCTTCTTGCCTGACTTTGGCTTTTGTTTCTAATTTGCAAGTTGGTTTATGTGTGGGACTAACCAGCAGTGAAGCCTTCCCGCTCCAAATTTGTCTCTTCTGTGATAGCAGAGGATTTTATGGCTATGAGTGGGCTTTGACCTAAACCCCACAGAAACCGCTTGAGTGTCTAGTGAGAAGCCCACAAGGGGACTTGACGATGAATGTGGCCTTTTTTCGTCTTTTCTGCGAGACCTTGATGTGCAGATGGAAAGCCAGGACACGGTCCCCAAGGAATCCTGGTTTCCAGCCTCTGGGCTTGGTTTCTGCTCAGTTTGGGCTCCTGGGACACCTTTGCTTCTCCGCCCTGCGGGACAGGCTGGACAGGTTGGCACTTGGAAGCCAATTATTTCCCTGTCGTAGACAACTTGGAAATGTGGCAATTTTCCCCCAAAGCCCTGGCGTTGCGTTTGCTGCTCTGCCAGTCTCAACACAAACCCTGAATTTCAGGGAAGAGGAGGGAGGGTTGAAACCTGTATCCCGATCCACATTTCACAGCACTGCCCCGAGCAAATCCTGCCTCATCTTTGAGGACTGGGGGAGCACATGGCCTAGCTTAATGACTGCACTGCTCTTAGTCAGCAAAATGAATTTACTCACTTAATAGGGCAGTCAGTGCATCCAAGCCCATCTCTAATGAGGTGACGTGCAGGTGCCAGCTAGTCCCTGACATTGCAAGGTCTGCCTATGCCCATGAATGCACACAGGATTATCTATCACACTGAGCGTCAGCAGGAGCAAAATCTGGGTAAGTTTGGGAGAAGGAGGGTGATCTATGTGTTAGTATTTTATTTTTAGTGGCTGGGCAGCATCTCTCTTTTCCCCGAAACTCTTAGTTACAGTGACTGGGTCCATCTGGCCACAAAGCAGCATCCTGCAGAGGGTCTGTAAGCATCCCGCTCCACGTCCCCTCCTCACCCAGCTGCTTCGGGGAGAGCCCGTGGGCTGGGAGGGCAGTGATTTTGAGAGAGTGGTCCCTGACTAGGCCTTGGCATCACGCTTCTGTGCTCTTCAGGTAGAAAATAGGAATTCTGGTCTTGAGGACAACATCAGAGAAGTCCTTAAAAGGCAAAGTAAATATAGGTGGTGATTTATTTATTTTTTAATAGATACAGACTGCCTTATGGGTACAGCCTGCAGCCATTTCAGGAGACCAATGGCTGTGTGTGCTTTTTGGGCCAGTGAGACCTTGTCAGATCGATTCCCGTGGTCCTCTGGGTGACATGTCCTACCCTCCCACCCAGGAAGAGCCGTACTCGCTCTCAGCGAGTAAAGAGCAGCATTTTCAAGAGGACAGATCTGCTGTAAGCGCATGGTGCCTGTTCCTGTCCTGGCTTGTGGGACTGTCATTTTTGGGTGTTAGGGGCCAAGCCACTTCACCCCCAGTGTCCCAGCTGTACATCAAGGATCATAAAATACTCCTAAAACAAAAGCAGGTTGTGAAAATGTGATTAGTAGGTGTTTGAACCGCTTAGATAAAAACTGTGGCACTCTGAACTCTGTTTCTGAGGAATTCAGATGGGTAAATTCTACTTAATAATCCCCTAAAGGATTATTACCTCTCTTTTCTGTGGAGGAGGGAGGAGGACTTGGGTTGCCCAAGGTCAGGAAGAGGCAGAGGTTTTGTTCCAGCAGGAGTGGGCTCCACAAGTGTGGCTAAATGGGTGGTTGGGTACAGCTGAAATTCCTAGCTAGTTCATGCTTCTTGTGCCCGCTTCCCATGTGTATTGTCTGCCACAGACGCTGGGGGAAAGCGGGACTTGGAGGTGGGCATCGTAAAATATCCATGGAAAACACATTTTTTAATTTGTAAGCCTGACAATATGGATGCATAAAGCCTGCTCTTAGAGATCTGCACGCCCAAAGAGGCTGCGTGACCTACTTGTTCAGTCAAAGCAGCTTTGATTTCATGTATCGAAATTGCTCGAAGCAAGACCGAACCATACCTAGCAACAATTAAGAGAATCATTTAAGAAGTGGGATATGATGAAAAAGGAAGCAAAAACCCTAAACAGCCCATTCATAGCGGGTGAATAGAAAAGCCTTCACATATCTGATTTGTCAGAAATTATTCATCCAAGAAAATTTGGACCTGAACCATAAGACAATTTTTCTTTTTTATCCTCTGATATATGAATCAGTGTCACTTTACATCTGAGCGCAGAATGTTTTGACCTATATAAGATCTTAGATACTGGAAATTCAGCTTGAAAATCTCAAAGCAAAAATGAGAAAGGATGGCATAAGCCAGTAGTATGGCATTAGCACATATAGATGCGACTTATCGCTGGAAAACATCCCAACAGAAGTCGAAAGAAGAGCGTTTTGTAAATAATAGGATTAGGAAGCAGGTTGGTACTTTGTGGAGCTGGCTATACAATCAAACTGATAACAACTAGATTAATAAGGCAATTCAATCTAAACACAGTGTAGCACTAGAAAGCTTTTCAAATCAATGCCTATCTGTGCAATTTTAATCGAGGTTGGTCTTTGCCTTTTGAAGCCAAGAGATTTGAAACTCCGGGTCAGCAAGGCATAATAAAATGGGCTGACTTTTATTTTTAACGTGTGCCTTGTAATTAGTGCCCTCTATTTCTTAATGTTTGCCTCTACCCAGGTGGGAGAAGTGAAGCAGTACAGCTTGTCTGTGTTGGTAATGAAGTACGGCAGACCTTGGAAAACACCACGCTTGGCTAAACTACAGGTGTTTTGAGCAGCTGGTTTGCCTGGCTGGCACCCACCAGTTGGCTGAGCTGAGCCAAATGGCTGGACAATACAGCCCATGGTACTGTATTCATAGCACGTTGTCTTCAGCTGTACGAAGGGAGCTTGTAGGGAAGATACCCAGAAGTTGCAGTGTAGGACACCAAGGGCCAGAAGGGTGATGGTTTTGAAGCCACGGGAGCGTTTTAGGATTCATTAAACCAGCTGAGACCTTCATCCAAGTATCATGTCCCAGCTTCAGGCAATCTCCGTAGCTCGGAGAGGGAAACCGAGCCTGGTACAGGGAGCAGTGTCTTTGCCAGCATCTCAGGTGTCCACCGAGAGCATCCTGGTTGCTGCTGGCCAGCAAAGCAGTGAGCCCGGTGCTATGGAGCAAGTCATGGGAAGATGTCTACCAGAGCCCTGCTCTCTCCTCCGCTGATGAGCCGCCCCCTCCATGTTCCTATATGACAGCAGAACACTTTGTGCTCTGTTTGCATTACAATATTTTGAAAACTTTCACATTTCACAGCGTGTGAGGGGGAAGAGTAACCTCGGAAACTGCCTTTGAGGGGTTGCTGAGCAGGGGATCCAGGCAGCCTTCCTTCCCACCGCCTCTGCACACAGTGAGTTGGGAGATGTGCTCTTGACTTGTCTTCCTCACGTCCAGCATCTCCAGCCTTGATGCCTGCCTTAATCTCAGGAGGAGACATGCACAGACCTGTCGCTGGGGGCATGTAAAGCTAGATCGGATAAATGCATTTGAATGACATGTTGTGATGCTTTGGATCAGTCCTGCTGTAGCCACAAAACACGGATGAGGTGGAAGCTAACAGGTCTTCTCCACTTCCTAATTTCTTTCACAGAGATTGTGAACCAGCACTTACTCAGGGAGCAGCATTTATTTTTCTAAGCCTTTAATCCAGCCCCTATCTGTCTTACAGCAAGTGTGAAGGAGTGTGAATCCCATTTGGAAGGCTCCTTCAGAGGAGACGTCTCTGAAAGGATGCGTGGTTTGCACACTAATCCAGTCTGCTCCCACACCCCACAGTGAACCCCATTAAAGCAGAGGCTTGTTAAATGCCAGTAGGCTCTAGGAATAAGCTAGTCCTGCTGTTCCCTTGATGCACCAAAAAATGAAACCTCTCACTGACTCTCGGGTTTGTCAAAGGCGAGAGGAGAGTGTCGGAGCAGGAATTGCTCTGACTTGGCCATAGATGGTCTCCAGCAGGAGGGAGGAAAAGGACAACCATCACGTCATTTCCAAGGATTTGATGTTATGCGGTGCTGAGGGCTGTGCTCAGCCTAACAAAGGGATTTACATTGCATCCCGCAAGTCTGAAAATCTCTTTTGATAGCACCGAACGTTCACGTACTCCTTCTTTTTCATTTATGTCTAATGCATTTGGGATTTTTTCAGGACTGGTAGAAATACATGCTCCTGAGATACATTTTCATTAAGGTATATATTTCCAGGTAACAATATTTCTGCTGAAAGAGAATTTGGTTCTCTTTATGAGCGTGTTCATTTGGATATCTGTGCCATGGAAACAATACAGCAGAGCGATGAGCACATGGCAGTTAAAATGTGTCTGACTAGGAGCCTGTCTCCCACTGAGCATCACAAAGTGGGCGACTGGTTCTTTGTGACCCCTTTGAAAATAGCAAGCTAAAGCAAGAAGGAGCTCTGCAGCCAACTAGATGCAGAGCAATACTGGTATGTGTGTATTTTTAAGTGAGGATTTGCAAGCCGTATGAGTGGCATTGGTTTCTGAAGGGGCTTGGTCCCACCTGTTCTTCGTTATAGCAGCATATAGGTGCTGGAAACTTTGGCTGTCCGTTCCCACAGGTCTTGCTCCGGCAGGTCTGGCACCCGTCCTTGTGCAGTGGTGTCAGGCCATGGGAGTGACAAGGCTGTCACTTCAGGTCTCAGCTCCAGCATGCGAAGGATTGTGGTGAGTTGGCCTCGTAGCTTCAGCCAAGTTACACCAAAGGTGGGGACAAGGTGCTTCAGGGCACTTGTGGGACCAGAGAGGGGGCTGGAACAGGGCCCTGGGTCTGGCCTGGGTCCATGGGAGCTGGGAAAAGGCACGCTGTGAGGATGCGGTCTGCACAAGTCACCCAGGAGGCTGGTGGCTCAGTCTGGATAAAGTGGAGATGTTGGGTGGTCTCAGCTGAAAGCCCAAGATGAAGACAGTGATGGGAATCCCGTCCAGATCGTTCAGCTCAGTCCCCACCTGAAAAGGGCAGGGAAAGTGCCTTGGCAGCCTGAAGTCGGAGGGGACCTTCTCTATGCACGGCTAACACCTGACTCGTAAAAAAAAAAAAGTAGAGATGTATTTAATGCAACCTGTAGGCTGCATGCTGCTTTGACGACAGAGACCAGATGTCTTTGACGGCTGGTTAGATCGCGCAGGTATTATTAATTGGGTTGGTCAGGAGCCTTTTTGCCGGAATGATTTCACGGTCACAGTAGGGCAGCAATGACGATGGATGTGAGAAGCCCTTCACAGGACCTCTCCCTTCTGGATGGGGTGGGATGCGAGCGGTGCAGCAGTGTCTCCGTTAGGAGCCCTTCAGAGCAGGATCTCTTGACTGTTGAACAATGCTTGGCAAAGAGGAGCTGGGTTTATAAATAATGCATTTCCTTTGTCTTGCAGGAGTTCTGGAGGCAGAGGTACAATCAGATCAGCTGTGAACAGCTTACATAGCAAATCTAATAGGTTTGTAAATTAGATTTTGTGTTCATTTGTTTTTGCTGTAAGGCAGCTATTAATCTGCTTCTCCTCTTTGCTGGATAGTGCTGTTCTTATTTAGCAAATGTATCTGTTTCTTTTCACTTCTGTTTTGCATTTTCCTAATCGTTTCTCCTCCTCCTTCCCCCAGCTCAGTGCAATAATCATTTGCAAATAACCAAGGATCTGCAAGTTCCAGTGATAGAGGGAATGAGAAAGAGAGTTACTTATTGTGAAAATCAGTCAGTGATAGAGTTGCCATTTTCATAGCTTTACGGCGTGCTATTAGAACAGAGATCGCTGTCTTTGACATCAGAACTTCATTCGGTTTTATCGTAATGCACTTCAGTAACGTCGTTCCGTTGCAGAGTCATTTCATGGCATCGCAGCTTCATTCAGTGTCTCTCTGTGTTATTTTTACAATGATTTCATGTCAGCCCAGCCTTACCAAGTGGCACAGTTGCAAAGCTTAGTGACACTGTGCGAAAGAGAGAGAGTGATATCATTCTGTGATGATGTCACCGCCCATGATCAAAACACAGAAAATGGACAAAACCAAAAAAATCATGCTTATTCCCAAGATTTCTTTACGCTGTTTCCTTCATGATTTCTGACTCCTTATAAGTAAGTTTTGCAAGACATGAGGTGATACGGCAAAATGCAAGATGCAAACAAATCCAGCAGCCTCTGGAGAGGTACTGTACAAACACACACGAGGACACTGGCAGACGGCATTTATAAACACGTTCCCTTGTCTTTCTGAAACATTAGGTAGTGTGAGCCACAGTGTAGTGTGTCCTCCGGAGCTCCTTCCCTGGGCTGGAGATGTGCTTCTGGGACCTGGATGTTGCCCATGGGCCTGGGCCACCAGCTCTGCTCCATCTCTCACTCTTCTCCCTCCTTGGGGTTTACATGCTTTCTATCAATGTATTTATTTACAAACCATTTCCCAGCTGGAAAAAGCCCTTTGCACCAGAGAGGGAGATTCCCTTCAGCTGATAGCGAGTGCTTTGGCTGTGTATTTTTCAGAGCGCTCTGAAGTGTGAAGGTTTTTCTGGGGCTGCAGATACACGCACAGCTTCTTGATGAGATGCTTGGGTATTCTCTTTGGAGGGCGGCTGGCTGGAATCAAATATTCAGAGGCTCCCCTAATTCATGCCATTTGATGTGAATGGTACTGAAGTGCTGGGGCTGATTTGGTTCTTAGAGCAGGGATTAAAAGCTGGGGTCTCCCAGTGATCATCTCCAAACTGCAGTATCTGGCTGTTGCCCGTCCCCCTGCTCATTTCTGGGTCTGGAGCAGGCAAAACAGATGCTGAAATCCTCATGCTCTCTTCTAAGGGGGGAAAAAGTTACCAGCAAGCCAGCCTCCCCCTGTGCGGTACGGGATGCTTGTAGCCCAATCTCACAAGCAGCACCCAGCGGCTCAGCTAAATTAACTTCTCCTTTGGGTGAAGTGAAGGTTGCACTTCCCTGACAAGGATTTTAACCCTCTCCAGGAGCTGAGCTGGCTCCGCTTTGGGGTGCTCCTGTGCAACCACGAGGCAACAGGGCAGCAACCTCGGCTGCCCACGTAGGAAATGTCTTGGTGAATTCTGGGGGCTCGCTGGGGCTCTGGGGTGTCTTGTCTGCAAGCGTCCACCTGCCAGCTTGTCTTTGCAGAGCCTGCTTGTGTTTTTGTGTGCATGCCTTTCCATAGCTAGCTGTGTAAGATTGTGTTTTCTGTAGAGCTGTGCCTGGCTGTAAGTCTGTGTTCGTGTAAGCGAGCAGGTATTTACGGATTTGTGTCTGTCTGCTTGAGTGTAGCAGACTACAAACAGGCTTTCAGTTCTGGTTTAACTAATAACTACAATTTTGCTTTTCTGATGAAGTTTGAATTCCAGCAGTCAGAGCCGAAGACAGTGATTAGAAATGCCATTGGGATGCTAACGGATTCTGTCTCTCTTCCTCTCCCTGTCTTTCTTTTCTCTAGAGCTGAAGTAGTAATAAATGACTCTTCGTCTCCAGCTGTTGTTGACAGAAGTAATGAAAGCATTAAGCACAACATTAAACCAGCCTCATCCAAATGGAGACACAACCAGACACTCTCTTTGAAGATCAGGTACTGGTAATTACGTATAGGACAAGAGACAGATTTGGTCCTCTCCAGTGCAAGCTGGCAAATTGCCTCTGTATATCATCTAAAGAAGTCGAGGAAGAAATAAAAAGGCTTATCTCCTGCTGAGCTAGACTTCATATCTGTAAGCGATCGCTTGGAAATGAATTCCCAGCTGAACCAGCTGGCCTTGCAACGACGAAACAAGGAGCGCTTGAGCCCCCGTTTTCCAGGCCAAGTGGAATTAGTGTGCACTGATGGTGGGTCACGGAGGGGAGAAGGAGACCCTCTTCCCAGGGCAAATGCAGGGATCCCCCACTAATGGTGGGCTGATCATGCTAGCCTGCCCCGGGAAAGGATGGATGGAGAAGGAACAGGCATTAAGATGGAGATACCTGTTTGTAGGCTGTTCCTGGAGAGCATTGGTCAGATGGACCAATGGCTACAGAACAAGGGCAGCCAGGAGGCAAAAGTTTGTCTTATGTATGACCCAAATTATCTCTGTACCTGTCCTGATGGGGCTGTTTTCTTCCCTGTCCTCAGGAAACAGATCCTGAAGTTCCTGGATGCAGAGAAGGACATTTCGGTGCTGAAGGGGACGCTGAAGCCGGGGGACATCATCCACTACGTCTTTGACAGGGACAGCACCATGAACGTCTCGCAGAACCTGTACGAGCTGCTGCCCCGCACCTCGCCCCTCAAGGGCAAGCAGTTCCCCACCTGCGCCATCGTGGGCAACTCGGGGGTCCTGCTCAGCAGCGGCTGCGGCCCCGAGATCGACGCGCACAGCTTCGTGATAAGGTAGGGGCCCGCACCCTGCTTCACGATGGGGCTGGGGCGGTTTGGAGGTGGTTTGGAGGGGTGGAAAGGGGCTGGAGTCCAAATCCACGTGGGGCAGCGCAGCCTTGCAGCCCCGTGTGCACGTGTCGTGTTGACCGACGCAAACACCCTGCTGCAAACTCTTGCACCCACCACCAAACGTTCCCCCAGAGTTCTTGCAGATGCACCCCGTGCCTTCTCATGGTGCAGCGTTAACCACCCCAGCGCACCGTTAGCCCCCAGCTTCCCCCAGCGCCAAACACTCCCTCCTCTTTTCGCACATGCTTGCCCTCTTGCAAAAAAACCCTGTCCTGGGCTCTCCCATGGACACAAGTCTCGATTCTGCCCCAAGTCACTTCTGCCCTCGAGCACCGGGTGCACCACACGATGCCCTCTGCATGCCCAGGTCTGATGCTCCTCTGTGACCGCTCAGTGCCCCAACACCAATGTCCCCGCAGATGCACTGCCCCGTGGACCTGCAGCAACAGATCCTGACCCCCACTGGGACACACACTGAATTCACAACAGAAGATGCTTGAAGTGGAGAGGAGGAGCGCGCTTGCCCTCCCATCCCCGACACCCGTGTACATCTGTTAGCTGAGGGGCTGTAGGTGTCCACTGGTGATTTATGTACGTGCAGACACTTGCTCTCTGGCGAGTCTATTATGAAGACAGCCCAATCCATCAGCGGCTCACAGAGGCGGTCCCCAGCGTGACGTGGGAACGAGGATAATGTCACCTCTGCCCCCTGCTCAAGCCCGGCTGCTCCAGCCTGCCTGGCTGCTAGCAGCTCCGTCCTGTCTGCGAGGCACGGGGGTAATCGTTCGCATCCTGAAGTGTAACCAGGGTGAGCAAAGGGAAAAATTGCTTATTGCAGTTCTGGCAAAGTTTAGGGAGGGGCTTCCATGTCAGGTAGCGTGGCTGCAGGCGAAAACCACTTTTGGGTGTAAGGACTGGGGTTTTGAGCGCCTTCTCTCCAGCCAGGTCTGCTAGTGCAGGTCTGGCATGGACGCGCTCTTCCCACCGCTGGTGATCTGAGCTGTCACTTGAATCTGCGTTTTCCTGATGAGGACTTGCTCCATCCAGGCAGCCTTTTCAGCAGGGCTGCCAGGGACCAGCGATGAGCTCTGTGTCCAAGATACAGCTTCGCTCTTCAGGTCCAATGTTTATTTTCAGTGATTTTACTCCTGTGACGAGTGGATCAGAAGGGCCCCGTGTGCCAGTAGCTGGATTTTCTTCACACTGTTCCCTTAGCTTCCCCATCTGTAAAGTCGAGAAAGCAGTAGTAATGGCTGATGATCGAGGCAGATGGTTAGGATGCAATTCCTGCTTGTTAAATACTGTAACTTCACTGTAAAACGCCACAGGAGAGCACGCAGCGCACTAACATGTGGGTACCCTCTGGTTTTCACCACGCTGGGGGAGTATCTCTCTGCATCCCCCCATCAGCTGGTCACCGCTGCCATTTACCCAGCGCCACATGCGTGACACAGCTACGGCTTAATGGCTGCGGATCCTGCCTCAAGGAGCTGTAGGAAACCACCGTGTAACTAGGGTGATTTGTTGGCAGTTTATCCCTCAGCCCTCGTCCCTGGCATGACGCAGGAGCTCCCAGGGGAGCGTGTGTGCCCCTATCTGCGTGCACAGCCTGAGAGGAGTCACCAATTAATGCTACAGAAAGAGATATTTTTTGAAGGTCACAGCCTCCAGACAGCCAAACCCTGGGGAGACCAAGTCCTGGCATCCACCACCCGCTGGTGTCATTATCGCTGCTGGTGCCACCAGGTCTGCTGTTAGCAGAGGCTCATCAGGAAGGGAGAAGGGGCTTGGGATAATATTACCCCAGCAGGGCTGGAATTAAGAGGCGAACACTTTCCTTGCATGGGAAAGGCCGTTTCGTTTCAAATCTGCTGTGGCAGCAAAGGCAGCTGGTTTGTTGCTCTGTGTTATTTTTGAACTACACCAGAAGAGACACCGATCCGTACGAACCCACCCGCCAGACGCCGAAGTTATGTCTGTTATTAGCATTGCCTCGGAGGAATATGTGCAGGCGTGCCAGCATGTTGAGGAATGATGTCCTTATATTAGGATGGCTCATCATTACCAGGCCAGAGCCTCTCTAATTTATGGCAGACACTCATTCTTCCTCCTCCTTCTCCTAAAAACAAGGGTGAATGGGCACATCTTGTCACTGACCCCAGCTTTTGGCATCAAACACCCCTCGCGTTTGTCACTGCCCTCTCTCATGTCCATTATAAAGGGCTGTTTGGTGTTTCCCCTCGCAGGTGCAATCTGGCCCCTGTCCAGGAGTACTCGCAGGACGTGGGCATGAAGACAGACCTGGTGACTATGAACCCCTCAGTCATCCAACGGGCCTTCGAGGACCTGGTGAACGAGACGTGGAGGGAGAAGCTGCTGCAACGCCTCCACAGCCTCAACGGCAGCATCCTCTGGATCCCGGCATTCATGGCCAAGGGGGGCAAGGAGCGAGTGGAGTGGGTGAACGAGCTCATCCTGAAGCATCACATCAACGTCAGGACTGCCTACCCCTCGCTGCGCCTGCTGCACGCTGTCCGAGGGTGAGAGCGTTTCTGGTGTGCTCGGAGCCAGGATTTCGTGAGCTTCTTGAGCTGCAGAGCGATCGATGGGGTTGTGCTGGAGGCAAACGGCGCCAGCTCTTTCTTTCTGCAGAGCATGAGGGGGACTGCACCAGGGCAGTGGTTGGTCCCTAGATGAGAACTGGAGACCACCTCGCCAGCAGGGGTTCGCCACTCTGCTCTTTGAGCGTGAGGGCTTGTAGCCGTGCAATATAGCGAGCCTAAGTCTTCCAGTGCTTTCCTGGCTCTATGCCTGGGTGTCCACAGCTCCCCAACCTATGGTTAGGGCTTTTGTCGGAGAAATGTGTGTGTGCTGAGCTAGTGATGAGTGACTTGAGTGACACATGCAAGTCTTGCACGGCTCCTCAGGGGTCAGGGTGCTCATGGCCACCTGGGGATGGGCTCGGCGGTGGCAGAGGCCCGAAGGCTGTTCACGCTGTACGCTCCTGTAATGGTGCTCATTGCACTGCTCATCTGAAATGACCAGGCAAGGCAGGGAGGGGACTGACATGGTCTGGTCCTGCTGATCAGATAAATAGGACCAGGCGGTGGTGAATGGACTTGCTGGGAGGGAAGGAAAGGGTCTTTCTGCTCTCTCCTTGCAACTTCAGGTGTGTGGGAGACACAGGTGTGGTGGGGATGGGGAGGTTATAAAAGTAAAAAAGCCCCAAGGGGGAGACTTCCATGTCAGTGGCTTGGGGATGGGGTAGGCTCTTGCTTTCTTGCTTTATTTCTCTAGGGAGAGTCATGATTCATTAGGCATTTAGGGAGCCTAGGCAGGTGGTGGCTTATGCTGGAGATGGCTTAGTGGCAGTAGTTGTCCTCTCTGATCCTGACTAGACCCTGTTGATCTCCTGGGATGGGAATTCACTCGTGCAGCTGGTGCTTCCGCCTCTTAAGCCTCAGCATTAATCTTTCTTGATTGCTTGGAGCACTTCTTCCCCTGCCCACCTCTGAGCCTGAGCTCTTCTGGTCAGTTGGTCCATGCTGGGCGTTGGTCTGTGCCAGCTCAGGTTGCCCTGCAGTGCAGGGGGTGGGCACAGGATGGATTTTGGGGTCATTTCCTACAGGATCAAACCCAAGGGGGTGCTCTGGAGAGGGGTGTGAAGGGCAGCTCCTCAGGCAGCCTGGGTGGCCTGGGAGGAGTGGAGGCTCTGGTGCCCCGGTGCATCACAGGCAGCAATAATGGGCGAGAAGAACCGCGTCTGCCCGAAGTGCCCATGTTTGAGGGCTCCCTGGGCCAGAGAGGCATCTTGCAGAGAATGCTGGCTTTGAGGTAAAGAAAGGGAAGGAAATGATACCACAACTAACAGAAAGGGAGGAGAGGAAGAAAAAAAAAAAAAACCCCACAACCCAAATTCTGAGCTATTTCTAGCTGTAATTGACTTACTTTCATCTGTCAAAATAGAATTAAGCTGCTGTAATAAGCCCTTTAAATCAACAGGCTGCTAATCCTGTGCTGGCAACCATTCCCAGTGCCAGAAACTTCCTGTAGGAAGCTTTGCAGAGGGATTGGCAAGGGCTGGGCATCGCATTCCCGCAGGAGAGGAGGAGGATGCCTCGATAAGCTCTGCTGCTGAGCTTATCTTCCAACTCGCGGCACCTTCCTGGCCCTCCTGTGCTGCAGCCCTGCGGTCCAGCTGGGCTGGCTGGCGCTCTGGTTGTGCCCGTGTATCTCCCACAGAGCAGCGTTGGAGCCACCACCCGTGGCTGGCAGGTCCTGCCTGGCTGGAGGGGATGCAGGGATTTTGGGACAAGCCCAGAGGTTCAGTGCTGTCTCTTGGTGCGTGGAGCGATGCGCCCCTCTCCCCTGTGGCTTGGAGTAGTGTCTTCCTTTTGCAGGTGGTGGTGTTCCCGTGGGTTTTAATGGGGTCCCATGCAAGGACCAGGAGTTTGAGCTGCTGAAAACCTGCTGGGACTCAGAGGGGTGCAACTAGTCAGACCAGCAAGTGAAGTGACCACTATTGGTGGGTGTCTGGGGCGGGTACGGTACCAGCACGTGTTTGGACACTGGCTGATCCTGATGACAGGCTCTAAGTACCCAGTCTGAGCTACAGCAGGGACCTCGATCCTGTCCTTTGGGCTGGTCACTGTGTGTGGGTCAATGGAGAGAGGTGGGTCATGGCTGCACGGCGGCAGCGCTAATTCAATTATAACCGCAGAAGCCGGTGCTAATCCTCTTCAGGGGAGCTGCTGCCTGACCTGCCCTCCTGCTCTCACACTTATCAGCAGGACAACAAGGATGCCTACTAATTAACAGTTAATATAATTAAAACTGCAGCCCCCTCGGAAAGCTAGAACTGATGGGAGCTCTTCAACGCCTACCCCAGTGTGGGCAGCGCTAATTCAATTATAACCGCAGAAGCCGGTGCTAATCCTCTTCAGGGGAGCTGCTGCCTGACCTGCCCTCCTGCTCTCACACTTATCAGCAGGACAACAAGGATGCCTACTAATTAACAGTTAATATAATTAAAACTGCAGCCCCCTCGGAAAGCTAGAACTGATGGGAGCTCTTCAACGCCTACCCCAGTGTGTTGTGGCTTGGCCAAGGAGCCACGCAGAGGGACCACCCAGGGCTGGGGGGCAAAGGGCTGTACTGTTCTGAAGGAAGGCTAGAGTCAGTGTTAACCCTTTCCTCGGTGCAGCCTCCTCAGGTTTAGACTTGGATGGATTTAAGAGTGATTCAGGCAGTATTGAATGAAGTGGCCACAGCTGAGGGGAGGGGGTGTGTGCTGATGCTCTTGGTGCTATATAGGAGATCTCTCAGGTACCTGTAGAGCTGTCGTGACCATCTGCTCAGGGTCACTGATGTGGTGTAGATTGGGATGAAGAACGAGTCTTTCCTCAGGTCAAACTAACCAGAATCACTAGGATTTTACTTATTCATCTTCTGTGATACTGTCTAGTTCTTACAGTCATCCTATATTTTTGCTTGTGAGCTCCTTGCTGTTGCAGGGATATGCTCTCCAACGACTTCCTCTGTCTCTCCAGCTCTCTCTGTGGAACATCCTGGTTTGTAGCATTACACTTTCCTTTGACAGATCTGAGATTTGTGAAATGAATACATTTTGTGGCATGCAGCATGCAGCAGAGAATCATTAATCCACAAAGCCCACAGAACATCCCTCTGTGCTGCAGTGGGCTGTAGTTGCAGAGATGTCCCCCCTTCTCCTTTGCTGGATAAAGCTACCCTTTATAATCTATTCTAAGTTGATTTGGAAGTCACAAAGAAATGGGGGAAATCTTTCAGCCAAGACACTCTTTTATTTTTATTTTTTTTTTCCAAGGAATAGCACTTTCTACAACGGCTAACATCTCAGCCAACTTCAATTCGGCTACAAAAGCTTTGCCTTTTCTCTTCTCCCTTCACTACCAGCGAAATACATTTGTGAGTTCTTGAATCCTCCTTGAACCGCAGTATTTATTGTCTTGCTCTGCTTTCCCCCAGACCAGAATGCATTTCAGTGGCAATTGAGTGTTTTTTCCTATAATTTTCAGTGCATTTGGGGCATTTGTAGAGCGTGTGTTGCTGAGATAAGTAAAAAGCATTTGGTTTTGTTGCCCTTAACAGCATCATTTGAGACATCACCTTCCTAGCTGTGAGGGTGCCTCAAATGTTTGCTGATAGCTTTTTGTGTTGATGATTCCGGGTAATCTGTGCAATAGGACAGGAGGCTCTTCTTACATGGTTAAACTCACCATCTTCACACCAGGAGGGGAGAGAGGCATCGGCATTTCGATGGAGGAGCTCAGGAGGAAGCCAAGCCACCACCTAAGGCTGAAGAGGAAAGCTGTGCCGTGGCAGGGAGACAGCTCGCGGGGACGATGCCGTGCGTTTCGGGGGTGTGTGACTCACTTCAGAGCAATTCTATAAAATGTCTCCTGAGCAATTCGTCTGGCGAGCACAGTGCTCGTCTCCTGGCTGGGAAGCAAGCAAGCCCCTTTTTAAGTCATCTGTTAGTGTCTCCAAAAAGCCTGTAATGCCTATTGCCAAGCAGCTTTTGTTAGAGAAATAACATGAAATGCAGGAAACAGGGGAAAATAATTGTGTTGGAGGTTTGACTATCTCTCCTTGCGGAGAATTCATGGACACGTTTCAGTTTGCCTTGTCTAATCTATAGTCTCGTATTTCTCACTGTGCCCATCATGAGGGTCTCTTGGCAGTAACTAGTTCTAATCCCATAAGGTTTTGTTAAGAGCTTCTTGAAAGAAAAAAAAACAAATCAATATATCTTCCAGCTCCTTGGCTAGGTCTCCTGTTAGGTTTGACATCCAAATAGCTGTGACAGTTCACGTGCGCTCTTCATGGCAATGATCACCTTGCTCAGGGCTTGTAGCTTGTGTAGTGCCACTCTGCCACGTGTCCTCGGAAGGGCAGCCTGGTGGGGCATAAGGTGGATTCATTTTTGCCTCAGGTGTCTGTCTGGGTCCTCCCACCCAAACAACCTTTGCTGATGTTTCGGGGCTGCTCAGCCGCTGTCTTTCCTGTCTGCCAGCCGTGGTAGAAACCCTCCCTTGGTCCCTCCTCGCCTTTGTGTCCTAATTATGCCACCTCCTTTCCAACAGCCTTTATCTCGCTTATAGCCATACACGACACACGTATGCAGATTGTTCTCCTAACCTTTTGCTTTGATCACACCACCCCGCTCTTCTGCATCCCTCCATAGGCTCCCCTTTTCTCGTAGCACACCAGCTTGTAGCTGTAACACAGCCTAAGCTGCTGCTTTTCCTTTTCACAGCCGTCCCAGCTCATCTTCTCTCACTCTCTGTCTTGAGATCAGTTCTGCTGTTGATTAGCCAGCGTCACCCACTTGTGGGTTTTCTAAACCAGCTACTTGATTCTTCCTCCTTTATGGTACTTCATGCTTACAGGGGCTCCTCTGAAATACCTGCCCTGGGGACTCATGCCTTAAAGCCCTTCCTCTCTGGTCCCACAGACAGTTTAAGGACAGTGGTACTGTGCTCAGATGAAGGAAGAAGGT